GGTGTTTAGACCCCCTTCCTGGCCAGGCCATTTTTCAGTATTCAGCGCTGCGGTACTTTGACTGACGTTTATTCCGTCATGCAACGCTGTACTGAAATTAATTTTATACTATTTTTTTGGGGACAGAAAGAGCTTTCTTTTGGTGGTATTTAATCACCACGGGGGTTTCTATTTTTTACTATATAAAAAAAAAGTACCGTTTTTTTTTTTTTTTTTTTTTAAAATAGTTTTCCCTTTATTATTTTAGGTAACATTTATTTTTAACCATTTTTTTGGTAAAATAGAAAAGGCGGGGTCACGTCTGGTAAATAGACACCAAACTTGTCAAGCCTAAAAATTGCACGATGGCCCGAGAATTATTGCTCTCATTGCAACGTTCGCGGCGATATGTAACACGTGCAGCATAATTGGAGCAATCGTCGTTTTTGCGTGTAGGCGCATCTAACACATTTTTGTGCATCTATGTGGGGGTGGGGGACTTTAATTTTTTTATTTTGTGAGCAATTTTTTTATTTTTTACACTTACACAACTTTATTATCAGATAGTATGATAAGAAATCCCCTGTGTGATTCAAAATTACAGTTACAGGTCCCCTTTATGGAGACATCAGGGGTCTCTAAGACCCCCAATGTCACCTAGGGACCCCAGAGAAGCTGATGAAACACATCTGCTTCATCAGTTTCTGTACCGGAGAGTGACAGAGGAATGCGGAAGTTATGTAATATACATCACTTCCTGCATTCAGAGACCGGAGGGAGATCGGGTACTGATCTCCCTCCGTTCTCAGTGCACGGAGCCACATCGCCCGGGATGGATGGATGCCCGGGATCGCGGGGTTGGCGGGGGCAGTGACGGCGACCAGAGGTAAGGAGGGGGGTGCACCCTCACTTGCATCATACAAGCGATCGGGCGTCTTTACAGACGCCGGACCGCTTGTATGTAAACGGCCATCGCTGGCCGTTTAAAATCCAGGCGGTTTCCCACTCGTACGCGCCAGGGGGCGAGCGGGCACGAAGGACGTCTAAAGACGCCCACCTGCATCCAGGAGACTCCCGTCTGGCCGTCTTTCAGCGTTTGGCAGACGGGAGGTGGTTAAAGAGAGCCTGTTTCAGTCAGAGAGATTTGAGATGGAGGTTCTCCTTCCAGCAAGACAATGACCCTAACATAATGCTAAATCTGGTTTATTGGGAAACATTTAATTGTCTTAGAATGGCCTGGTCAAAGCCCAGTCCTCAATCCATTTGAGAATCTGTGGCATGACTTCAAGATTACTGTACGCCAATGCAACCCATGTAACTGGAAGGAGCTGGAGCAGTTTTGCCTTGAAGAATGGGCAAAAATCCCAGTGGCTAGGTGTATTAAGCTAATGGAGACGTACCCAAAGATTTATTTATTACAGGTATTTATATAGTGCTGACAATCTATGCAGCAGTTTTGCATTCACATCAGTCCCTGCCGTCGAGCTTACAATCTAAAGTCCCTATCTCACATGCACACATATAGGGCTGATTTACACAGGAGCCAATTAACCTATCAGCATGTCTTTGGAGTGTGGGAGGAAAGCTGAGTACCTAGAGGACACGCACCCACAGAGAGAACATGCAAACTGCTTTCAGATATTGATCTTGTAGTTGCAATTGCAGCAAATTGTGCCTCTACAAAGTAATGACTTTTTGGGGTTAAATACTTATGCACACAACATTAGTTTTTTTTTGTTTTTATCAATCTTAGTTTGTGTCACAATGAAGATTATTTTTCACCTACATTAAAAAATAATGTAATTCTTGGTTGTATTGCAGTAAAACGGGAAATACACCAGGGGGTGAATACTTTCGTAAGGCACTGTATCTCCTTATAAATGTAGATCTCTTTTATGAGCAGGGTACAACAAAGGAATTCTATGTTTAACTTTCACACTTTAGTGAAAGTATTTCCAGTACTTAACATCTATTTATGGGTTAAAGAATTTACGAAAATAAAAGCCATTCCATTTTTATTTTATTTTTTACTAGTACTCGCATTCAAGCCCAATTTAACTTCTAGTTTGAATTGGCTAAATACATTCCAGGTATTTCAAAAGAAGGGTTATGCATTCATTCTATTTAAAAAGCAGCCACAACCTGATTATAAAAGCCTGTCCCTTGCTGGCAAGCTGCAAAGATGGACCTTTGATCCCTTGGAAGCAATTGTCTCTCTGCAGAAGTCCAACATGTCATGCCCCTTGCTGAATCTGATCTATAGCTAGACAATCGGCAAAGCTCACTATCCCTTTTGATTGGAAAGGTCTTGCTTTTTCTCAGCAGGGAGTGTGTTGGACTTCTGCAGAGAGAAAACCACTTCCACGCAAAGCAAGGGTCTTCCTCTACAATATGCTGGCAGTGGACAGGTTTTTGTACTCGGGTCACAGCTGTTTGCTAATGAAAATGCCACTTTTTGTTTTTATGCACCTAGAATATACTTCTGTGATTTAAACTCAAAGATCAGTTAGGCTTTAAAGTGTAAGTAAACCTAACCATGAACCCATCGGCTACTTTTTGGTCTGCTTAATATACATTGAAAGTGGTTTTTGTTAAGTTCAAAAAAATACGTGTTGATTTTGACAGAAATGAATCTGATTAAGCTGATAATGTCCTGTGCTTTGTGAACAAGGAGGGGTTATGGAGATGAGGTGGTCTGTAATTTATCAGAAATGAAGTAGGCAGGGCTGACGTCACATGCTTAGGATTTCACAGTTGTGTTGTCATGTCAAAGAGGTAGGTAGGAACATAGACTGTTATGTAACAGTTTTATAGGGTATACAATTTGGGGAAATTAATGTGCCAAATATTTTTTTTTGGGCCAGAGATTTGCCAAATGTTTTTTTTTTGCCCTTACATAAATTTTAAGTATGCCCTTTTAAAATGAGACATGCATACAAAAACATGAGCAGAATTTTACGTAACCTGTAAATGTTCTGTTTTGAATGTGTCTTTTTTTACTTTGCATAATAATTGAACAAAAAAAAAATTGTGCATAAAAATAAAGGGCACAAAACACCCAAAATGCTTGCAGTTAAATCTTACAAAGGCGGTACATGGAGGATTTCCCTCTTTTAAATGGCTGTTAAATGTTTTTTAATGTTTTGCTCTGCAGAGGTATCATGTTTTGGTCATTTCCATTTTCAGGGCCAAGTCTGCCTATGGCAACTGTTGATATTAAAAACCCTGAAATAACGAACAGATACAGCGTACACGTGAATAACATTCCCTATGCTAAAGATAAGAAAAAAGGCAAACCCAAGAAGAAGAAGCTTACTAAAGCAGACATTGGAACACCTAGCAATTTCCAGTAAGTAAATAGAAATCTTTGTAGCCTGTCCATCCATAAAGGTTTTATTTCATGAAAATGTCTCTGCTCATTATGCAGAAAGAGAAATCCCCTCAGTGACATTTTGATGTGAAGATTACTAAACCAGAAACAGTTTTTTTTGGTTTTTTTTTTATTGCACCTTTTGTAGAGATATTACAGATTGATGCAAAATCTCCTCAACCACATCTGGATTGTTCCTTCCTCTCTGTAGAAAATGCAACACTCCATTCACTGTGTCATTCACAGGCAAGCGTTACCTGGGGAGCACAGAAAAGCCACTGCTGGTTCAGCGAGCACTCCTGGTTTTGATTTAATAATCTGAACTGTAAAATTAAATCAAATTTAAGGGATGTCCCTCAACATTTTAATAGCTAATTAAATCTAATGACAGCAGGAGCATCAGCTTCATGCACACAGGAGATTCCAGGAGGCTGTACGGGTGTGCCCTCCCAGAACAGGGTTACAGATCATCTTTGTAATGTGGTTAAATGCATTGATAGGATGCGGACCCATTCCTTTATTAATGGCATCCCCCAACGCACCCTGCAGCGGACTTGTGTTGCTGTACTCTGCCAAAGAATGATGCATGCATTTGGGTTCAATATTTCCCCAAAAACTCAGATTAAAGTTTGTTTTATTTCTTTTCCCCACACAATGCCACTCGCTGATGCACTTGTGCTCATACTTTGGAAGTTTGAAATCGGTAAAATGTCAAAAGTGGCTGAGGAAAAGTTTTTCTTTTTGTGCAAATTATAATTGATTAGTCTGTCGAGATTCAGCTATCGAGGTCATTTAATATCGTTGAATATACGTAGAAAATTAGGTGCAAGTGCAATTGGTGATCAATCTTGATAAAGTTTTATGCATACCAGGAATTGCACCCTGCACCGAACTCAGAGCATCTACTCTCAGTACAGTGTGCTAATCCTGAGATGCATGTAAACAGTGAGATTTGCATACATACCCAGGAACCTCATATACAGCCTGGCTGCACATACCTATACAATGCCCCTGTCCCTCCTGACAAAAGTAATATGCCAGGATATGCAATGTACGGCCCTCTTGTGACTGTAAGACTGCTTGGAGGTAGTTCAGTAAGCAAAATCCTACTGCGATGATGTCATGTAGTTGAGGCAAGTGTTAGCAGACGGTAAGGTGTAAATTTTTGTTAAACATGCACCTCTTTAAGGCAGGTGGTGATTGGAGTTAGACTGGAAGGGTGGCATGGTCAGCTGCTAATAGGTGGTGGTCGTGACCACCACCCCTGTTTGGGGAACAGCCTTTCATATGACATAAATGACCTCTTTCACACCTTTTTTAAACCAACTTCTGAGTAGTGACCGGAGGATTTAATCTGGACACACATGGATTTTAAAGCGCATCAATTGTTATTATACAGGATTTATATCGCGCCAACAGTTTGCGCAGCTTTGCACAATATAATTGGAACATATGTCAATACAAGCAAGCTCATGGGCTGTTTTAGAGACCTTAAACCAAAGAATAAAGAAAGACAGTATATGTAGCAAAACATTCTGAGTATGCTGCTTTCCTTTAAGTCTTGAAGTTTTACTTATATTTGATTTTTGTTTTGTTTTTTCCCCCTTTAGGCACATTGGACATGTGGGCTGGGATCCAAACACTGGATTTGATGTAAGTAAATGTTTTTGTTTTTCCAGTAATAGGTTGTATTGTATAAAATAGATGATTGCACTATTTAGCCATGGGCCTTTCTATGTGTTTTCTGTATATTACTGTATTTAAGCTCCTCCTTGTGGCCAAGAGCTGAAATTTCAGTAATGAACTCCATTTTCAGACACTGGGTGGTCTCACACGATCTACAGCAGAGGTCCACCAATGCTGTGAATAGTTTGCCATGTCTGTTGTTCCTTTGCAAAGCAGGCATGGGGTCTCCTTTTTGTGCCCATTAAGATGCAGTATATAACTGTATTGTTTTTATTCATATTTGTGTATTTGACAAGTGTGTTCATGTATGTTGTATTTAACGTTTTGGAATTTGTTTATTTAAAGGTGAACAATTTGGATCCAGAACTGAAAAAACTGTTCGACTTGTGTGGTATCTCTGAAGCGCAACTTAAGGATAAGGAAACCTCAAAGGTCATTTATGACTTCATTGAAAAAACAGGAGGTGTGGAAGCTGTAAAAAATGAGCTGCGCAGGCAGGGTAAGTTTTTATCTGGAATTCCTCTTATGTCGTAGAATCATTTGCTCTTTATAAACAGGCAGTGAGTCTTGTCACCTGTGAAACGGACACACAAACTCATCCCAGCTCATACTTCTGTCCTAGAACCAGATGCCACATTAGGCTTTTTACTTATTTTGATTGCTTCACCATGTAGTTTAAAAAAGTCTATTAGAATATATATGATTTGCAACTTGTGTTTTTTACTATTTTTGCAATGTTGTTTTTTATTTTTTCCCATTTCCATATTTCCCTTGACATTTACTTTTGTTCTTTTCCATCTTTTCCTTGGAATTGTTGCTAAAAGAAAAAGTGCTGTAGATGACACAAGCCTATTAGCATGCAGTTCTGTTCTGTGTATATCAAAACACTGGTGTGGCTCTTGTTCCTAGCAGGTTTACTTCATCATTATTGTATTAGGGAGAACAATATAGGACTTTAGGGGCATTAGTCATATAGAAAAAGACCAAATTATTTCCTGATATCTGGTGTTGTCTTTATCTACTAGCCCACACTTAGCCTGTTGACTACACCTATGGAACAGCAAATGGTATAATGAGGCAAAGGCTACTTGATCTTGAGCTAGTTTTTATTTTAAACCGTTTTTTGGACATAGAGCTGGATAGAATAATAGCTGTCACTTGGAGAGTGATATCCCAAGCTGGCTAAATATTTGTTTTTGGCTACGAATCAATAACGAATATATGTGATCTAAAACCAGTACGGTTTTGCGCACACATTTGTGATACGTTTATTAGAGCAGGTGTTTTTTGTACTTAAATATTCATCCTAGACCTAGGCTCATTGTTCTAAACTGGAGAGTTCCTATATCAGCCCCCAGAAGGGGACAGTTCAAGCACGTTTTCCAGCAAATTTCACAGTAAATGTATTTATCATTAGGTCTGTCTGTCTCTTTGTAAATCTTCCTTTCAGGGTTTTTTTCCTGCATAACCAGATGTTATATACACTGTAGCAATGTCAAGGAATCCCTTTGTTTATGAACACATACCCTATTTTTGCATTTAGAACTATTTTTTTGTTCTATGCTTTTGTGAACAAATGTTCTTTTTGATTTTTGCAAAATAAATATAGATTAATGTATAGGGTGCTCACATTTGTCCTGTAGGTCCTCCACGTTGGATTGGTATGTATGGGACATTGCATAAAGTGTGAAAAAGTTAAATGCATGGTTTGTGCTGTGTGGGTTTTTTTGTTCTCATATATCTTTAAGAATGGATTTCTTAGTGGATGCTATCAAATTGAGCTACGCCAAGATATGTTTAGTGTCAATCCTTTGTGATCTCATGAACTTGCAGATTATGGCACACTTGCCTAGAAGAGTGCCCTCCTCCAGCACCATCTGATTAAGGGTGTCAGTTGTCACTCTGTCCCCCACCATCTCCTCCACTTCTCCTGGGTCCCTAGTCATACTCTTTGGCCCTTGAATGGCCACTATGTAAATCTTCTGCTTAGCCACATCTCTGTTACCCGGCTTAATCCTAGGCGTTTTACATCTGCTGGCAGAGAGCCGAGAGTGTACACAGAGAATAAAGAATTGCTTGGAGGAGAAAATAATATTTTTTTTTTTTTGGAGCTGAAGAGGCTTTGTGAGCCCATTTCATGTACTATGTGTGATTAAATGCGTTTAAAACGTTTTTTTAAATGCATATATATGCATGTAATTTTTTCCAATAGATCTTTTCACACCTTGTGTTTACATGCTTTTATCTGCAGTCAGTTTAGCTGCCTTTAGAAAAAATAGTCGGGTGCGTTCAGAAATCAATTTTCTAAATGCATTAAAACGCATGTAAATGCAAGATGCTTTGCTGAAATCTCATTTGGCTACTTCAATAGGCAGTTTCAGTGGGCAAAGGTCAGATGCATCTAAACGCATATGCATGTAAACACGCATCATTTTCAGCATCTAGAAGCATAAACAAAGCATCTAGCCTGACAGATTTTGCAGACAGATTTCTCCATAAAAGTGCAAGTGTGACTGAAGCCTTAGATAGGTGCTGCTAGGTGACATTGCAGCAAACATGCAGCATGGGGCAGGTTATGTCCTGGGAATGGCATGTCTAGGCTTCTGGATGACTGGCACAGACTTCCCGGAGGTTTTCTGCACAAAGGACTGCAAAGCCTTCAGCCTCCACTTCCTTTCTCTGAGCTGACAGTTTGCAGAACGTTTTCTGGAGTTCCAGCTAGAGTCATTTAGTAGTGCCTGGAATGTGACTAGAGGCAGCTGGTGTGAGAGTAGCGTGTCTGTGCCTGTATCTCTCTCATGTCTTGTCATCAGCTTGACTGCAGCTTGTTCTGTATTGGCCTCCCCCTTTCTATTACAGCCGAGGACCACTCATTTTTTTTTTTCCCAGCACCAGCTCTTTTTCTGGCTCCACTCCTCTGCAAAGCTCAGCGTCCCACAACTCTTAAACTCACCATATATGTTACACTCTGATCATACAATATCTTATAGATCTACTAATTAGTATGTAGTGCAAGGGCCTACTTGATTGGGTACATGTTGATTGGATAGCTTAAGTGGGTCTTCCTTTCACCATAGTTTTGGAAAATCTAAATGTAGTTTTACAGAACTTGTATGATGAGCTTAAAGCTGGACACCTGTGGGCTGAACGAAAAAATAGAACAGTTAGCTCCATCAACGCAACGAGCGTGTTGATCAAGTAATCTCTGCTGTGCCTGTGAAGTGTACAGTGTTGCTGCCAGGAAGTATGTTCTGACAAAGGCAAGGGAGATATCTGCTCCCATCACTGCCTACACACCCTCCCATTTTCATGAGCCTATGAAGTCTGTGCACACAGGGCTCACAAAAAAATGTAGTCCTGCCAGGTGCCCTTGCTACCTGAAAATGACATGGGGAGTCCTGTTGATCCCTCCTCCTGGCTCCCATCGGCATGGGATTTTTTTTTTGCAACCCCTGTGATGACGTCATAGTGGCTTAGAAGGTGAATTACTCGGAACAGAGACAAGCTATCGTAGGGGAGGAGGAGGTAGAAAGCGAATTGCAGGTGCTAACTGGAGCTTTGAGGGTAAATTGGGCAGATTTACTTGTGGTTTCCAAATGCTGCAATAAAATCTTTTTGTTTTACACAATTCATATTACCATTTAAAGTCCAATAACATGAGCTTGGAAGACGGAAGAGAAAGGAAAAATGTTTGTAACTGCAGAGAGTTGAGTGTGTTATGCATGTACAACTTCCTTTTGGCCTTTTTTGGCTTTCATCTTATTTCAGGTTGTAGTTTTCAGAGCCATTATTTGAGAGTGATATTTAATCGTAGAGGGTAGCAAATTGCATGCTTTTGTATTATTGAAATAACTAATTTGTGATTCCTTAGGAGTTTCTGGTGTTCTGTATAAATGACTCATCTTATTCATTCAAGTAATAATAATTGTCTTTGGTTACCAAGTCACTAAAAAAGTATATGAAGCCTTATATGCAATAACTAATGGAACCATCTTTCTGATAACAATCTCAACCAAACATTTTCTGTAGCTGCAGATTAGCTATACAAAACAGTTGGCAGATTTACTGAACTATTTCCGCCTTCAAAACGCCTTCAGATCATATGTATTATAGGGAGGCCATGCTTGAATGGATTGCTTCAGATAACACCACAACCTTTCGGTCAGATTTTAGGTCAGCCTTTTGACTTGGCCTTTCTAGAGCACATCATTTCCTCTGATTTGACTTTTACTGATTTTATTTTGAATCTTTGAAGTTTTACAGTCAGATCTGAATTGTTGCCGGACGTTTGGAATTCATTGATCTCTGTTCTTGCAAGCAATCCTGGCTCTGCAATGTAAAGAATAGTAACTTGTATTCACATATAAATGATTGCTCAGCCTCAGTGCCATATACAAACAATCAGCAGCATGCAAGGTTAACTGTCCATTATGTACACTTAGCGTCTAAATAAAGGCGTTTAGACACATTGGACCTGGTGTGCGGGTGACTACTTGTATATTTGGACTTGAGCTACGCCATCCGCTGGTCTCACCAGCACCAATTTGTTTACATTGGGATTTCGGTTTGGAGTGCGGTGGGGTGTATGCTATCACTAATTTAAGGGCCACACACAATAAGGCAGAAGTTAGGATCGTCTTTAACAGATCTCTGGCATGTTTCCAGTTGTCACACGTGTGCGGTCTCCTTCTCCTCGGCTCGCAATCTGACATCAGAGCCAAAGAGATCACTTTGCCAATGCCCGGTGGATGGACAGATCTAAGAGGCAGCTCAGACACACACAGTTCCTTGCGGCTGTTGCCCAGTTCCTAACAGGCCGCGGACCGGTACCAGTGCGCGGCCAGAGGCTTGGGGACCCCTGCCCTTCTTCATATTAAGATCATGATATAAATACATTGTAAAGTGTCTTTGTCCACCACTGTTTCTACATGCATGTGGAGTGAGAGGTGCCCACATTAATATGCTTTTGGTAACCCATTTTAATCTATTGAGCTGGAACACCTCTTCTCTGAAATCTTTTGTTTGGGCCATATTTTACTGAGCATTATTCTGTATTTGAAAAGCAAATAACCAGAATTGTAGATTTTATTTTAAACTATATTGTAGGGCAGGCTTACCTATTCCAGCTGAATGAAAACCTGCATTATTGACTGGGGTACCTGGCTTAAATTACTCTTTTTTGCATTTTTCTGGAGGTTCACATACTTTTCCAGTGACCTTAAACAATTTGCTCAATATAGATATGGCGATTTTCAAGGTGGCGCGTGTTGTGTTTTAGAAATCTCCTACAATTGTAAAAGGGAAATGTTTACTATATTTCATTTCATTTTATTTTGTAGCTCCACCGCCACCACCACCTTCAAGGGGCGGTCCCCCACCTCCTCCATTGCACAACTCGGGGGCTCCACCCCCCCTTCCACCAGCAAGGGGTGGCATCGGTAAACCACCACCACCTCCTGCCAGAGCTCCTACAGCTGCACCCCCACCGCCTCCACCTCTTCGGCCTGGAGCAGCAGGACCGCCACCTCCTCCACCTAATAGATTGCATCCTCCCTCGCTGCCAGGTCACTCTTCATCTGCACCTTCTAGTCCCCCACCCCCTCCTCCTCCTCCAATGCCAGGATTTGGGGCACCTGCCCCACCCCCTCCTCCACCACCACCAGGGCCCCCACCACCTCCTGGTCCTCCACCTCCACCTGGATCTGCTGCAGACAGTGACCACCAGGTGGCACCTCCTAGTGGCGGCAAAGCAGCTCTACTAGAGCAAATCAAAGGAGGAGCACAGCTAAAGAAAGTAGACAATAAAGAAAATCGACCCGTGTCTTCCACTGGACGAGATGCTCTGCTAGACCAAATACGGCAGGGTATTGTGTTAAAGGCTGTGAGTATCGACTGTGAATGATTGTCATTTCATGCAGTAAATGAAAAGGAATGCAGGGGTAAACTTACATGTTAAACACTGACTTCTTAAAGGGAATGTGTACTGGGTTTCTTTCTTCATTAGGACTGTATCAGGATTAACAGAACTTCAGCCTTACCCTGTGTATTAGTTATATAAGCTCCACTCCTGTATTGAAACTGATTACTCTATATTCACTGCATACTGTAAAATTCTTAGTGTTCATTAAGCTGCAGAAAGTTAGAGGCCCACTTTTCCTGGCTACAGGATGTCCAGCATCATCTAGCACTTTACTCACCAGGCTTACTTTCCCTGGTACACCCCTTTCATTCACTGGTTTTCAGTTATGGAGGCTTATCATTATATGTTTTTATTACCACAGCTTCCTGTTTTCCCAGAAGCTATGTACAGCACCCTGCCAGCCATCATCTGCCTGCATTGCATGGAGAAGCATAAAGACCTGGTGATGATGTCACTAGGTCTAAAATAGATTTTATTGAATAATTTTCATTGGCATGCTGATTATGGGGAAAAGCAGCAACCAGGGGCGGTTGCTCGACAAATGAAGTTTCATCTGTTTGCATGTTAACTTCTGTTTGTTTTGATACACATGAAATTTCTAATACGTGTATAATTCATGTAGGATGTCTATTTGCAAGCAGATAATCTACCTGTATTTGATTATTGTAAAATTTGCGGATTTTCTTTGCACATTTTACAGAGACAAGAGGAAGCTGATGCTCCAGCACCTTCAACTCCCACGGCCCCCACAGGAATAGTGGGTGCTCTGATGGAAGTGATGCAGAAAAGGAGTAAGGCCATTCATTCTTCAGGTACTAAGATTTCTTCAATTTCCAAAACTGGCAGTGAAAGAAAAAAAGCTTATTGGGAGCATTTTGTTCAGTGACATATGGCTTAGACATTGACATGGTTACAAAATGAAATGCACAATCAACATAACAATATTTAATTGATGAGATTGTTATAGTATTACAGACTGGGAATCTGGCTCCATGCTGCACACCTGATGGCTGGGGCTCCTACATTGGTTTGTAATTGCTCTTATCAAAAACCAGTTTGACTCCTGTGCCAATTTACCCATTATGAATCATTTATATACTTCAGACAGAAGCATATCTGTAAAAAATAAGTCAAGGCAACTCGACTTTCTGTATTTTTCTTGAAGCCGTTTCACTGGTAATCCAACCAGCTTTCTCAATTCAGAATCACTTGTACAAAAATTCCAGAGAATTTTTGTACAAGTGATTCTGAATTGAGAAAGCTGGTTGGATTACCAGTGAAACGGCTTCAAGAAAAATACAGAAAGTCGAGTTGCCTTGACTTATTTTTTACAGATATACCATGACCTGGATGAATGAGAACTTTCACATATATTCAGACAGAAGCACCTCCTTACAGTTTAACTCTCTAAAATTACACTCGGTAGTGTGCGCTTAATGCATGTGTATCAGAATGCTTTGGCATGTGCTGTGTGCATTGGTTGTACAACTTGCAAAACACAAAAGACATTTTAAAATTTGCACAGCAGCACGTTGGTACACATTGGAATGCACTGGATTATTTAGTGTTTTAAGAACCTCCATTTATTTTGTGTGGATCAAATACAGGAAAATGGGTTTTGCTGAATTCTTTACAGTGTAACTCAGCGCTGTGGTAGAAACAAATCTTGACCTGGTCTCCAATGTACTTGAGTTTGCCACAGTAAAAAGATGCAACAAAATGCCTAACGATCCTTTCACACGGTCGTCTGTCAGTTCCAATCAGCACGGAACAGATGCCACTGTTGTGACGTCCGTGTCCGTCCAGTCTTTTCTTGCATCGAGGAAAAAACTGAACTTACTGCACCCATGTTAGGACTATGGGGAATCTGATGTGAACGATTACTCCGCCAGGATCAGGTCCGCCAAAACAGAACTCTGTTTTGTTTGTTTTTCTGGACCTGGCCTGCTTTTTATAAACACAAGTGAAATGCATAATCTGCTATTGCTTTATTGCTTTTCTTAATGAAAATGCTAGCCTTGCTGTCATGCTGCTCCAGTGGCTTTAGCACTGTCATTGACCCAGAACCAGCGTGTAACCAGTGAAGTCAGATATCTGTAATTTTTTTTAAAGTTTTGTTGACTCCTCCTTGCAATACTTCCTGTCCTAGGGTTACAGGAAGGAGCAGGGTTGCCACCCTAGGGCAGGGAGTGTTTTAGGAGTTTAGAACACCACTCATTTTCCTCTTCTCCGTAAAGGTCTCTGCCGTTTACAGAAAGGAATACTATGCTTTCATAGGAGTGCAGCATAAGTAGAGAGTATTGAAAGTGATTAGCTCACTTAGTTTTTGGCAGGATCAACAGGATTGTTTTGTTTTTTTTTGTTAACTGATACGACAGGGTAGTTAGGGGCAGATGGTATAAGAACATGCAGGGCAAACTATGTAAAGGGACATGGTTTCACTGCTAGAAAGCTTTCCCTGGCTACAGTTAACATTTGCGAGAACATTATTGGCATCAGAGAATTTGCAAAGAGCTTATTCTGACCACCCTCTTAAAATAGAAAAAAAGTACTAATTGTATTTTAAAAAATATATTTTTTAGGGTTGCTAATGTAGTTTCTGGTTGCTTTAGAGTTACTATTAAAAATAGGTCTTAACTAATGCCATACTCCATACCATGAACTCTGTTGGCTTCACGTTTTGTCCATTAACACTATTCTACTATAAGGTAGTGATAAAGAAAATACAGAACAAATATAAAATAGTATATAGATTTCAATTGTCGTCTTCTACTCGGGAGAATATCTAAAGGAGAGTGCCATGCTGCGTAATGTCCATAATATACCTTTTTTTTTTATTTCTTCCCTAATAGACTCTGATGAAGACGAAGATGATGAAGAAGAATTTGAGGATGATGATGAATGGGAGGATTGATCTACACATTATATAAATATATATAATATATATTTTTTTTAAAGTGAATGAATAATAAACAATACTTTTCTGTCTGAATTCTGTAAAATTATCATGTAAATGGTCTACCAATTTGCTGTATATTTTTGTTGCCTTTTTGCTTTTTTAATAATCTGTGCAATACCTCATTGGAGATGCAAAAGTTTGTCATAACACTGCGCACACATCTTCCTCCCTGTGTGTGCAAGCTCCTGTGACCTACACAATGACATTAGTGAATATGTAACATCCAACTGACAAGCTCTAGGGGGAGAAAAGTGAGGCAGTGACAGAGAACCTTTAATGCAATTGTTAGAATTAAAAAAAAAAAATACTATTTTCTTACCCTGATTTTTCTGTATCTAAATTTCTTAAGGAAATCTAGCCTAGCACTACATTTTTAAGTGATGCTGATCTTTGCTAATTAGGCCCCCATCATTTTGAATGCAATGCTAAATGTATGTTAATTATGTATGTCCTATTTTTTGCACGATTTTTTTTACACTACAAAAACATCAGTTTGTATTTTTGCAGCCACTACAGATCTGCTATAGTAATAGTTGGGAAGAAGCGAGCAATAGCATCTGCTATTTTTCAGCAATATTAACTTTAGATTTCCTTTTTCCACTCTTGTCTATGAAAGCCACACAGCACTCTTAACGAGTTTTTTTTATGAATGTGATATCAGGGGTGAGGCGGCATGACTGACACAGCAATGCTTCGTAATTCCAATCTACAAGACAATTCATCATTGCAAAAATGACAAACACTACTGCTGGGTTAGTAAACTGCCCGAGATGACACTTAAGAAATCCAGGCGTTGTGATGTAGCCTGTTTTGCACTTTCATTGTATCCACTTTGACAGAACTGCTTGGTGCTTGCTTCTCTAATGTTAGGTGAAGTTCCTGAATTGCGGGCAAGTCGCATTGCAGACGCTCCAAAACATTCAGTGCCGTTTTTCTTGTGCTGCATTCTGCTGTATCAAAGAGCAAACACTAAAAGAAAATAATACAGGAAAAATCTATCTTGAATGGCATATGAATATTAGTCTATATGGTAAAATAAACACTAATATGTAATGTACCTGCCTATTGCAATATTCTGTTATCTAATGTATAGCTCTGGAGAAGAGAATGGAATGAATGACAAATAAAGAACAAAGTTCCCACAAATTGTATACATAACTGATATTTTACTTCTTAGTCTTTACATGGTCTTTGTGTAGAGCATTATGGCAGACAGTGTAGGCTTAGGTGCCAGTCAGTCCAGGCACTTTGTAGTAGTCAGAGCACATGGGCTTCACTGACCATAGAAAAGGCTCATAGCTAGTTGCTTACTGTAATTAGTGTATGCTCATTGACTGCCTGGCTTATGAGATTTGTCCAGCCATACTTTAGGAGCAGTCGTGTGTATTTAAGCCCATGCAGAACCTGACATCTTTTGCTGAGGTGTGACAGTAAAATCATTTCTATTGCTTTGCTTGTTAGTTCAGCTCTTATTGTACATTTTTTCCTGGCTGTTTTTGACTTATATGAAGTTATACTTACAGGCTGGCCCTGTGTAATTTTATATTCTTGAAATCCTACTAAATAATGGACCTTTCAATAATCATGCAATTAAAGTGATCATGTAAACTTCATAGCGTACTTGGTGCATATTGATCAGTGTGTTTTTTTTATTATTGTTATTGAAAAAGAATTGTGAAACTGCAAACTTTCAGTGCGTTCATATTTTCTGCATTGGGATGTAGAAAAAAAGTTTGTTCTCTAGCATTTTTAGCACTTCAGACACAACCAGAGTTCATGTGACCCAAGCAAGATTCTCTTTTTGGTAAATCGGACTTGAGAGAGAGTGTGCCCTTAAGGCTGGGCACACACCTTACAACCATCGCAGGACTTGTCTTGCGATGGTTGTAAGGTACTTAAAAAAAACATACGATCATTGCCACACCGGCCCGTCCGGCTTTTATCGTACGAACATTTCCGTAATTATTTTCCAGGATGGCACCTGAGAGAGGCTCCACCCACAAAAACTTTCACAGTCAACAAAAATGCATAGTTACCTCAGTTATTTAACTTTCCTCCTACCTAAGGCTTCATTCACACTTGCAGTGTCAATCCTGTGTTTTTATATGGGAGTAGAGCAGATTTCTAAACGCATATAAATACAGGTAATGTTTTTTTTTTTTTTATTGGTATCAATCAGATTGGATTCATTCAGTTTAGCTGTATTTAGATAAAATAGAAGTGTGTGTCCAGGATCCGATTAAAAGCTCTAAGGAACCATTCACACCAGGGCGACAGAGTTTCAGCGCACTTTACATGCGTTTTTTTGGAAGTGCATGTTTCAGCGTGTTTTGCATGCGTTTTCTGTTTTTAGCAATAACGTTTGGCCAGGACATTGTAATTCATTTCAAAAACAAAATAGATACAATTTGGGATTAGATTGCCACTCTGCAGTCACCTTCCCCTTCATGTTCCAGACCCTCCATCACACCTGTTACTCTCCTCTTTTGACCCGGTCACGACAGAGGAGGTCACAAAGCTTCTCTCTGACACCCACCTCATCACTTGCCCCCTAGACCCTGTTCCCTCACCACTACTTCAGTCACCCTCTTACTCTATCCTACACTCTTACTCACATTTTCAATCTCTCACTCTCTACTGGCATATTTCCCTCCCCTCTGATGCATGCCCTGGTCACCCCAATACCCCAAAAAACCTCAATGGACCCTACCGACCTTAACAATCTCAGACCAATCTCCTTACTCCCATTCACCTCAAACTCCTAGAATGCCTTATCTGCAGCCGCCTGAGTCGTCACCTCGCTGATAACAACCTTCTCGACCCCTACAGTCCGGCTTTCGCCCCCTGCACTCCACTGAAACCGCCCTCCTAAAACTCACTAATGACTTACAGCTAAAAACAATGGCCACTATTCCTTACTCTTGCTATTAGAACTTTCTGCTGCTTTAGACACTGTGGACCACCTGCTCATCCCCAAAAAACTCCACTCACTTGGCCTACAAGACTGCTCTCTCACGGTTCTCCTCTTACCTATAAGCGCTCCTTGAGTGTCACCTACAAATCTAACGCCTCCCCTCCTCTTCCTGTAGGGGTCCCCCAAGGCTCTGTCCTTGGACCCCTTCTATATCTACACCTCCTCTCTTGGTCAGTTAATAACCTCACATGGCTTCCAATACCATCTCTATGCCGATGACACTCAAATCTACCCTTCTACTCCACAACTCACCCCCTCAGTGTCGTTGCGTGTCACTGATCTACTAACTGACATATCTGTCTGGATGTCGCAACACTTCTTAAAACTCAACCTTTCAAAAACTGAGCTCATGATATTTCCTCCCGCCCGTGCGCATTCCCCCAACCTTTCCCTTGAGATAGTTAACACTACTATCCAGCCCTCCCCATGCCAAGTTCCCAGGTGTCATTCTTGACTCGGACCTCACCTTTCTTCCCCACATCCAATCACTATCCAAATCCTGCCGCCTTCACCTTCGTAACATCTCCAAAATACGCCCCTTCCTCACCAAAGAAACCACAAAATTACTAATTCACTCACTTGTTATATCTCGTCTTGACTATTGCAACTCCCTCCTCATTGGCCTACCTCTACACAGGCTATCCCCCCTTCAGTTTATCATGAATGCAGCTGCTAGATTCAATCACCTAACCAACCGCTAAGTATCTGCAACCCCCCTCTGTCAATCCCTACACTGGCTTCCTATAGTTCAAAGGATAAAATTCAAAATATTAACAACCACTTACAAAGCCGTCCACAACTCTGCCCCCGGCTATATCTCAAACCTTGTCTCAAAGTATCTCCCTAACCGTCCCCTTCGCTCTTCACAAGACCTCCTGCTTGCCAGATCCCTCATCAACTCCTCCCATGCTCTTCTCCAAGACTTCACTAGAGTCTCTCCCATCCTATGGAACTCTCTACCCCAACCTGTCTGTCTATCTCCCACACTGACTGCCTTTAGGCGATCCCTTAAGACTCACCTTTTCAGGGAAGCCTATCCCACCTCAACCTTACTGCTGAACAATCCCTTTCTCAAACAATCATCCCTGCACAGTTACCACCTCATGTATCACTTGCTCCTCCCATTTAGATTGTAAGCCCTCACCCTCTTTTTTATTGTATTGTGATTGTAATGTCTTCCTTATATTGTAAAGCGCTGTGCAAACTGTTGGCGCTATATAAATCCTGTATAATAATAGACGTGTTTCAGCTTGTTTTTTGGAAAACGCACTGAAATGATATCAAAAACCACACAAAAATGCTGTGATCCCATTTCCATTAAAGTCTCTATGGCAAAACAAACGCTACAAAAGAAGCTCAAGCGACAGGCGTTGTAGGATGTGCGGTTTCAGCTAGTTTGCTTGAACTGCCCTATAGGAATGTATGGGATTTTACAATGCATGCGTCTCAGCACTGAAAAAAAACGTGCAGTGAAAACGTGTGTGAAACAGGGCCTAAATGTGGTTATATTGATGTAAACGTTGCTAAGCCTGGATAAACCTGCAAGTTAAAGCCAGTACTTCCAAATGCTGGAAAACGTGATCTGGAAAGCAAAAACTTCCCAGATAAATGCTCTTGTGTTTGGATTTTTTTAAATGCAAGTGTGAATGAAGCCTTAGAGAAACATTGAAACTGATCATTTTTCCTCAGGGTTCCAAGTATATGCTCCTCATGATTTCAGGAACAGGGGGACCAAATGAGGTGCAGATTCAGGCCTGTCCTGGCTTGGAATATTTTTATTTTACTATCCTAGTTGTGGGACCCTTCCTTTCCATCACCTATTTAGTTTTCCCTCAAGTTTCTTCTCCACCTCAGGAGAAGCAAGGAGCATTCCAGCTGACTTCCACTGGTTAGCAGTGCTACACGTGGCTAATTCCTCTACACCAGCTACAGATCCAGCAGATTTGGGCACCAACGACTCCAAGGTAGGTCTGAGTGTATGGGTCATCTTCCACCTATACCCATACTGTAGTACAGTGTGGAGTACCTTTGGGAAGACGTCCCCTTTTTGGGTTTTGCTTTACCTGGGGGGGGTCATTATTTCTGTTCCACACCGGGTGTTGGTGTGCCTTCCTACAAGGGCAGGTCTTCAATATATTATGTGTTCCTGTCCGCCATTGGTGTGGCAAGTTGGTAGACGATGTCATTCTGCGTTGTTAACACCCCCTGTGTGTTGAAATTAAATACCAGTAAATGCTGCTTTTGTACATGTAATATCACACTGGAAAACATAAAAGCACACTTATGACATTCTCTCCACATTCTCAAAATAACATCCATTCCATGAATAAAAATAACATATGCTTAAATCAATTCCAATAAACATGCTGTGACCAGAAAAAAATATTTTCAATAAAAGCAACAAATGTTTACAGATAATGTTACAAAGTATCTTCTTTATATCCTATTGGTTGCTATTAATGTTCTTCTTATGAAAACTGTTGCCCATACCTGTGCTCAGATACAATCACCAGAGTTAAATGACCCTATTAGGGATGTCCCAATAACATTTTTTTCAAGTACTTTCCCTCAGGTACTTGCTCATACCAATTACTGATACTTTTTCTTAAAGGGACATTTTTTTTTTTTAAAAACAATACAGACTAATGATTTTAGGACAGCTTCTTTATAATTATGAAGAACTTTAATGCAATCCATGATTATTCAGCAATGGAGAATGGCAACCAGCAATCATGGAGTGCTGAGATTTGTAGTCCTCTATAGCCTGTTGCCATTCTCTATTGTTTGTATAATCATTGATTGGAGAATGGCAACCAGCACTAGAGGACTAAAGATCCCATCAATCCATGATTAAACAGGGCTGTGTTTGAGTCTCACCAGGGTTGCGATTGAGTTTAGCCAGGGCTCTGCAGGTGGAATCCGGGCTCTGGGGCTGTACAGGCAGCTGTGGAGCTGTGCAAGTAGGAGGAGACAATGTATGGCCTGACCAGCCATGTCAAAGACAGCTGCCTGAGGTCCCCAGCAAGCACAGACTAACTTGTTTAACAATTTAAAGGGCCAGTATTGGCCTTAAGGGCATCA